ATTGAGAATTTCGAAAAATGTTACGCCAAAATTTTAATCGATATAACATCGATTTAATCGATTAAAACAACTTAAGGAAATTTTTGTCAAATGTTTTAATCAATTAAATCAGGCTTTCATCAGTTAAAATTGCTTATGAGGTTTTGAGAAAATGTTTGATAGAATTATAATCGATTAAAACGTGAATTAATCGATTAAAATAACTTAGAGAATTTTTATTTAACTATTTTAATCCATTAAAACGTCATCGCGTCAGTTAAAATAAATCTGAAAAATTATTAAACACATTTTAACTGATTAAAAGAAGAATTAATGGATTAATCAAGATTTAATAATCGATTAAAAGAAAGTTTTAACTGATTAATTAAACCAGTAATTGAAAAATAAATCTATATAAACAGGATTGCTTCAGCATTTTAAAATACATCTTTGAGTAATCAATCAAGCAATCATTAGAGAAGTTTTTCAAGAAAGAAGCACACCATGTTTGTGAAGATTTTCAAAGTTCTTTCTTGAGGCATTTTTACATTCTTACTTGTGAAGAAACTCATTCTGCAAGAGTTGCATAATCCGGGTTTGATTGTTCTAGTTTCTTCTTTTTGTTCTTTTCAATTCTATACTATATTGTGGGTGTTTGGAAGTATTGGACACTGGTTCTGTAACTGCAATTTGGTTGCAGGTTGGTTCAAGAACTTGATTCTTGGGGAAGGTTTGGTGCAAGAATTGCAATTTGGTTCTTGGTGTGGATTGGGTGTTTTGTGATTCAGGTTTGTAATCATAAACATAATCAATCTAGTGAAACCCAACTAGAATTTGGTTGAGAACTGGATGTAACCCTATGGTTTAGGTGAACCAATATAAATTTTGTGTGTCTTTCTCTAAACCTTTATTCTCTTTTATTTTGCTTGTGCTTTACATAGAACTACTTGTTTTTCTTGATTCAAAACTTGATCAGAATTCATAATCTTTGAAATAGATAATTTGTATTCTTAAAAGTGCGAAAATCTTTCAAAGATCAATTCACCCCCCCCCCTCTTGATCTCAACCTACATTTCTAACAATTAGTATCAAGAGCAGGGTCTTGAAAATCACTCAAGACTTTTGGTCCAAATCTTTTCATTGCTGAAAATAAATTACTTTTTTCTGAGGGTGCTTCTATTAACACATCTCCACTATTTTGTGGTACAGATTATCTATTTTGGAAGATAAGGATGAAGATCTTTATTAAATCTATTGATAGAAATGTTTGGGATGTAATTGTAAATGGTCCACTACTTACAGAAAAAGAATGGTCTAGTTTAAATGATGAAGAAAAGAGAAAAGTTCAAAGTGATTGCACTACCAAGAACAAAATTACATCTGCACTTAATATGGATGAATTTTTCAGGGTGTCTCAAAGAAAATCGGCCAAAGAAATGTTGGAAATTATTGAGATGACCTATGAAGAAACAACAGATATATGTTTGATGGCTAATCTGGATTCTTCAACCACCAGTGTAAGTTTTAATTCTTCTATTAATTCTATGAAGTATAGCTCATTACAAAATGCTTTTAATTAAATGCATGAAGTAGCAAAAAGACTTGAAATAGAAAACAAAAGATTAAAAATTTTGAATAATAGGTTAGAAAAAAAAATCATTCTTCTTGAATAGAAAATTCTTGATGAAGATGTTTAATATTCAAATATGATTGATAACAATTATGACTGCATGTGTAAAGATCAAAAGGATTGTGAAAATTGTCCTGAATTAAAAAAGAAATTAGCATATCTAATAAAGATTGCTTCTAAATTTGCACAAAGTAAAGCCAATCTTGATGTTTTTTTTAATTCTCAGAAATTGGTTATTGATCGTGCCGTATAGGTTTCACACCTTTTGTTGGAAAGAAAACTAGAGCTTTTAAAAATTATTTTTCATACAATAAACCTAATACATCATCATTTACTACATGTTTCTATTGTATGAAAAAAGGTCATTCTGTAAAATTTTGTAAAATCAAGAAATATGTTGTTCCAAAAGGTAGAATGAAATGGGTTCCCAAGAAATCATTTCAAATAACTTAATAGGACCCTATTATCTTAAAAAGGGTACCAGATTGGCTATTTTTTTTGCAGGAACAAAAATCTAGAGATCTGTCGGTACCCGGTTAACAAATAAGTATTCTGGATATGAAGGATTTAAAATTTTTCAGGAACTGGTTGTTTTAATTGATATAAAACTATTTTTAATCGATTAAATTCACTTACAGAGAAATTCTTAAAAGTTTTCCGTACAATTTTAATTGATTATTCATCGAATTAATCGATTAAAAGCTCTTATGTTTATAACTAATATTTCATATCTCTGTTTTAATCGATTACAAATTATTTACATCAGTTAAAATCATTAAATAGTTCAAAACTAATCGATTTTTTCTCGTTTTAATCGGTTAATTTTCTATTCCAGTACAAAATTAATCAATTAGTACCGCAATTATATCAATCTATTTTTCAGGAACAGCAAATTGAAGATCTTTGGTATCTTGATTAGCGGCTGTTCAAAACATATAACAAGGGATATCTTAAAGTTTCACAATCTAAAACTCAAAAATGGTGGTATTGTCATCTATGGAGATAACAACAAGGGCATAATTCTTGGAATTGGTGATACCAAATATACAGAATCAGGTATCATTAACAATGTACTGTATGTTGAAGGATTGAAATATAATTTGATCAGTATCATTCAGCTGTGTGACTAAGGTCAAAAAGTCATCTTTGAACCAAAACAATGTCAAATACTCAGATCAGGTTCAGACCAGGTATTGATCACTGGTAAGAGAATCAACAACATTTACATGTTAAATACTAATTCTGCCAAAAATTGTTGCCTAACTACTAAAGAAAATGATTCCTAGTTATGGCATTAAAGATTAGCACATATTCATATGCATCATCTCAACAAATTGATTTCCAAAGATTTTGTAATAAGTCTACCTAAACTAAAGTTTGTGAAAGACAAAATATGTGATGCATGTCAAAAGGGCAAGCAAGTAAAAAGTTCTTTTTCACAGAAAAATAGTGTTTCAACTTCAAGACCGCTTGAACTTTTACACATGGATCTCTTTGGTCCTTCAAGAACTATAAGTTTAGGTGGGAATCTATACACATTGGTTATTGTAGATAATTTCTCAAGATTTACCTGGACAATGTTTCTGAAATTGAAATCTGATACTTTTCATGCTTTTAAGAAGTTTGCAAAACAGATTCAAAATGAAAAAGGTTATTTCATTTCAAATATTCAAAGTGATCATGGGGGAGAATTTTCAAATGAAAATTTTGAAAAATTTTGTGAAAAAGATGGAATTAAGCATAATTTTTCTACTCCCAGAATTCCTCAATAGAATGGTGTAGTTGAAAGGAAAAATTGTTCCCTTGAAGAGTTAGTTAGGACAATGCTTAATGAAAAAGCTTTACCAAAATATTTTTGGGTTGATGTTGTAAGTACTACTTATCATGTTTTAAATCGTGTTTTGATTAGACCATTTCTCAAAAAGACTCCCTATGAATTATATAAAGGCAAAAAGCCGAATATAAATTACTTCAGAGTATTTGAATGCAAAGTCTTTGTTCTGAACAATGGAAAGGAAAATCTTGGAAAATTTGACTCCAAATCAGATGAAGGTATTTTCTTGGGATATTCATCAAATAGTCATGCCTATAGAATCTTCAATAAAAGGTTAAAAACAGTAGAAGAATCATTTCATGTTGTATTTGATGAAACTAACCCAGATATGTAGAAAAACTCAATTTGCAGTACAAATGATGATATTTTAACTGATAAAATGTATCAGTTAAAACTACCATAATCAACTACTTTTCAGAAACAAAAAGAGTCTAGTGAAGAATCTGAAGATCAGCATGTTGACAAATTTTGGGTCATGTATATATATGATACATAATTTAAATGTGTTAGAGTCATTATTTATTAAGCCAAATAATAAAGTGATCTGAATAAATTAAAGTTTTGGCTAAAGGCATATGTCATGAAAATAAAATTGTGTAGAGACCATAGAGTAATTTCTAATTTGATGAGGGGCCAAATTGAAAATACTAAAACTTAAGTAATTAACCTAATTTTAGTTATTTAAAGGGTCATGGTTCCCTTCTGGGAGCACACACACAGAACGTAAGTTTAAGTCCCGTTCTTTTCTTTCTATCCCCATCAAGAGAGAAAATCCAAAGGGAAATACAGGTGCTCTCCAGGTGGAAGACCATAAGATCAATATTGCTCTAAAAAGGACATCATCATTATGGCAAATTCAGGTACGCTTTCGCATTCAGTTTACAGCATGTTTATGAGTATGGGATTATATGGATCATAACAGTAAATTACTAACAATTGGTATCAGAGCAACCCATACTTGATTCATGTTTATCTTTGGAAATTACATCTAACAAAATTCAGATTCTGTTTAATTAAGAACCCTAAGTCAAGAATAATCTCCTCCCAATTTTTTTTAATCGTAAATTTAAATTTGGGGTAAATTCCCAAATTTTAAACCTAATTTCGAATTTGGGGTAAAACCACACTTCTGCTCCGTCACACGAGTTCATCCGAGTTACATAATCTCCTTGATAAGAGACCTTCTGTCGTTGGATTCTGTTTTTCGAAGTAGCTTTGGTGAAGTTGCTTCTAAAAACCCTAATCGAGGAGAAAAACAACGAGATGCGCCCTCTGTGTCTACTTCCCACGATGAAAATGTTAAATCGTTCAGGAATAAATCTCAGAATATGGATGTTGATGCGGTGCATTCCCAAGGTGGAACAAATGCTGAGTTAGCGTTGTTTGAGTTCTCTCGTGGAATTAAACCAAATTCTTTTGCGCTTGTTAACCTAATTGGACTATCCTCTGAACTGAAGTGTCACTCGTTCGGAAAACAACTCCACAGTTATGTTTCACGTTCCGTTTTTTTTTTTCCACATCCATGTCTCCACCTCCCTCGTCAAGTTTTACGTCAGAATGCACTCTTTTAGTGACACACACGCACTGTTCGATGAAATTCCTCAACCGAACGTCGTTACTTGGAACACTATGATATCCGGGTACGTCCACGCGGCCGGTTTCGAAACGCTTTGTCGTTTTTCATGCGCCTTGACAGGTCCCATGTTTGTGCCAACGCGTTTTCTTTCACGTCGGTGTTGTTTGCTTGTTCCAAACTCGAGTCTCTTTAAACTTGGAAGCTCAATTCATTGCAAGACCGTGAAGCTCGGGCATGGATGATAGCACTCGTGGTTGCAAACCGCTTGATTGACTCGTATGGGAAATGCGGACTGTGGAACATGTTGTAAGGGTGTTCTCCGAGACTCGTTGAGAAGGATGTTATATCTTGGATTTCAATCATAGCGGCAAGTGCTAACAACGGGTACATTGAACTTGCTTACAAGTTTTTGAACCTTATGCCCAACCCTGATACTGTTTCCTATAATGGCCTCATAAATGGAATTATTCGGGTGGGGAACATGGAAGATGTTGTTCATGTTTTGTCAAGTCTGCCAAATCCAAATTCGTCTTCATGGAATTCGGAAATTTCGGGATTTGTTAATAGGAATCGAACTAGGGAAGCTTTGGATATGTTCTGTAAGATGCACTTGAAAAATGTAGAGATGGATGAGTTCACATTTTCAACTATTTTAGATGGAATTTTCAGTTTGGCTGCCTTAACGTGGGGAATGTTGATTCATTGTTGCACAATAAAGTGCGGTTTGGATGATTCTGTAGTTATTGGGAGTGCCCTAATTGACATGTACTCAAGATCGGGGCTTTTGATGTTTTGCTGAATTTCTTTGGGGAAGTTTCAATTCGATGAGCAATTAGAATTATCCTGTTTGATTTCTTTCAATTAAAGCACTTAATTGTCCGATTCAGCCGGTTGCATTAATTTGAAGAAGACTATTTTAAGGTAAGCATGGTGGAAATTCTTTTAGAAGTGGACCCCACCGGTGAAATGATGGAGATTGTCGGGGACCCATTTGCGTAGATAAATGAATAATTAAAATTGATTTGGTTGTGAAATCTAATTTATCAAAATTTCCTTTATTTGATACCGAAGCATGAATGATTATATTTAGGTGGTTTGGTTTAGTTGGAAAATACTTGTTTTATGAATGGCAATGGTGGATTCAGTGCCATTATAAATTTTTTTAATAAATAAATAATTATATAAATTTGGTTTTGTTATATAAATAAAATATTACTTTTTTGGTAGTTTAATATTTTTGTGAACAAATTGAGTCAAGAAGCTACCAAAGTAACATTTCTTGAATTGGGTAGTTCGTAAAAAATATTGAATGTTAGTGTTTGTGTATATTCATGCGAGTATTAGTCGACCCAAAGGAAGATTAATATTTGGCCGAATTACATACACACCTTTAATGATAAACATGTGATAATTATAAGGATTTGCTTTGTTGATGATAAATCAATCCAAAGACTGGTTTGTTGTTGGACGTGCTTTATTGTCAATGTTTGATTATTACAACAAGATACCTCTAGCAGTTAATATTACTCGTCCAAAGACTTGATATTGATGGTGCATTGGGTGTCTTGAGATGGGTTAAACCATTATTTGAATATATATTTTATTTATAATTATTTAATTTTATAATTGAGCATAATTAATTTATTTCTTTTGTTCTTAATTCAGCTACAATTGCTTCTGTATCTACCAATTTAAATTTTGTTCCGATCCTCAATGGAACAAATTTTAAGGACTGGAAAGAAAACATTGATATTATTCTTGGCTGCATGGATATGGATCTTGCGTTAAGGACTGAGCAACCCCCTATTCCTACGGATTCAAGTACCTCTGAACAGAGAAGAGATTATGAGAAGTGGGATCGGTCAAATCGCATGAGTCTAATGATCATTAAGCGCGGCATCCCGGAGGTGTTTAGGGGCACTGTTTCTGAAAACATCACAAGTGCCAAAGAGTTCCTTGCTGAAATTGAGCAGCGCTTTGCAAAAAGTGATAAGGCAGAGGCAAGCACTCTTCTTCAGAACTTGATCTCCATGAAATATCAGGGCAAAGGAAATATCAGGGAGTACATTATGAGCATGTCTAATATTGTTTTTAAACTCAAGGCACTAAAGCTCGAACTCTCAAAAGACTTGCTCATTCATTTGGTATTGATTTCTCTTCCCGCAACGTTTAATCAGTTTAAGGTATCTTACAACTGTCAGAAGGATAAATGGTCTCTTAATGAACTCATTTCACATTGTGTACAAGAAGAAGAAAGGCTAAAGCAAGATAAGATACAAAGTGCTCATTTTGCAAGCACCTCTAAGGCTAAAGGCAAAAGAAAGAGATCGGAGGATCCCAAGAAGGAAGCTGCTAAAGGTCCAGAACAAAAGAAACAAACTCAAGAAAACAAATGTTTCTTTTGCAATAAGACTGGACACGTAAAGAAGCAATGTGCTAAATATCATGCATGGCGTGAAAAGAAAGGGTTGCCTAAACTACCAGAAGCCAACTGATTCTGAAAGATGGATATACGTTGAAAACGACAAATTGGTGGAGATGGAGACTATTGGACATTTTAGATTATTATTGTGTACTAATTTTTTATTTTAGATTTAAAAGATATTTTTTGTCGTGCCGTCTTTTAGACGAAATTTGGTTTCAGTTTCTTATTTGGACAAATTAGGTTATTTGTGTTTATTTGGAAACAATGAGTTCAATTTGTCTTTTCATTCAGATATTGTTAGAATTTGTTCACTTTTGGCTCATGATAATCTATATTTACTTAATATTGTGGTCACCTATAATGAAACTCTTAATACAAAATCTCGTGGTATTAAACTAAAATTGGACTCCCGAACAGTAAGTAGTTACTTCATTGGTTATTCTGAAAGAGCCAGGGGATATAAATTTTATGATCCCACATTAAAGACAATTTTTGAGATGGGAACGGTTATGTTCTTTGAGGATATTGAGTTTGGGAGGAAGAATAAGATTAAGAATTTTGTATTGGAGGAAGAATCGACAATAAATCCAGAACCGATTCAAATAGTTACTTTTGATAAAGTAAGTTCGGAACCTCCACAAGACATTGAAGATAAACCCCATATTCAAGATGATTTGATTGTTCGTCAAGACCAAACTCAAGATTCTCAAGAACCTATGCGTCATGAGCCAGGGATACTCCAGTTACTAAGGGAGACAAGTTTAGTCTAAATTAGTGCCCAAAGGGGAATTTGGAAATTGAGGAAATGCAACAGATTCCCCATGCATCAGCCATCGGGAGTTTGATGTATTCCCAAATATGTACGCGTCCAGACATAACATACATAGTTGGGGTTCTAGGAAGATATTTAAGCAATTCAGGAATAGACCATTGGAAAGCAGCAAAAAGGGTCATAAGATATTTAAAAAAGAACAAAAGATTATATGCTCACATACAGGAGGTCAGACCAGTTGGAGATTGCTGGGTTTTCTGACTCAGATTTTGCAGGATGTCAATAATTTGTAGCATGCTATGAGGCATCAAATCATGGAATATGGCTGAGAAATTTTGTCACAGGGCTGCAAATTGTGAAAGGCATTGAAAGACCACTTAAGGACAAACTCCATGATAGCATATCCTCTAACTAAAGGACTTCCGCCCAAGGTAGCATGTTGCTCACATGGGTGTTTTACAGTTTGAGGAATTTGTGGTTTAGTGGGAGTTAGTCACTTTCATATATTTTATGTTCTATGTTTAATTTCATATATGTATACATTGATTTTTTGGACATATTTGGTTATCTATAGATATGCGGTTTTTTCGTTCATTCATTACACTTTGTACATTAAGGATATTATATCGATCTCGATAAGTTAAAGTTTGGACCAGTTGGAAATAGACGTGTACAGATCACCTTCACGTAATTTTCATGCTACACATTTCATGATGAATCCATGTCATTTGATTATGTTAGGATGAGTAATCATTGTTGGTTTTAATTGTGATGATGCAATGAAAAGCTAGTTTGGTTCTATATCCTGATATGATTAATGGACAGGACTTTTGGAGTATGCTAAAGGAATATAATGACAATTTTGAGCTCATAAAGTCTAACACATTTGTAAGGTTGTAATGACATATATATTTGTGACCAGTGGGAGATTGTTGACAAATTTTAAGTCATGTATATATATGATACATAATTTAAATGTGTTAGAGTCATTATTTATTAAGCCAAATAATAAAGTGATCTGAATAAATTAAAGTTTTGGCTAAAGGCATATGTCATGAAAATAAATTTGTGTAGAGACCATAGAGTAATTTCTAATTTGATAAGGGGTCAAATTGAAAATACTAAAACTTAAGTAATTAACCTAATTTTGGTTATTTAAAGGGTCATGGTCCCCTTCTGGGAGCACACACACAGAACGTAAGTTTAAGTCCCGTTCTTTTCTTTCTATCCCCATCAAGAGAGAAAATCCAAAGGGAAATACAGGTTCTCTCCAGGTGGAAGACCATAAGATCAATAGTGCTCTAAAAAGGACATCATCATTATGATAAATTCAGGTACGCTTTCGCATTCAGTTTACAGCATGTTTATGAGTATGGGATTATATGGATCATAACAGTAAATTACTAACACAGCAGCCCAAAGAATGGAAGGCTCCAAGAAATCTTTCCATGGAAAACATCATTGGAGAAATAAAACAGGAAGTTTCTACCCGAAGATCCTCAAATAAATTTTGTAATAACATGGCATTCGTATCTCAAATTGAACCAAAATTCATATCTGATGCATTAAAAGATAACAACTAGATTAATGCAATGCATGAGGAGTTAAACCAATTCACAAGGAATAATGTATGGGAATTAATTCCAAATCCAAATGATGCAAATATTGTTGGAACTAAATGGGTTTTTAGGAATAATTAGATGAAAATGGTATTATTACAAGAAACAAAGCAAGATTAGTTGCTAAAGGATATAATCAACAAGAAGGAATTGATTTTGATGAAACATATGCTTATGTTGCTTAGAAGTTGTTAGGCTTTTACTTGCTTATGCCTCAATGAAGAATTTCAGGTTATACCAAATGGATGTTAAAAGCGCCTTCTTAAATGGCTATTTGAATGAAGAGGTTTTTGTTGCTCAGCCACCAGGGTTTGAAGATCATATTCATCTAGAGTTTGTCTACAAACTAAAGAAAACATTGTATGGTCTAAAGCAATCCCCAAGGCAATGGTATGAAAGGCTAAGCAAATTTCTCTTATCAAAAAGCTATCAAAGAGGTGTTGTTGATAAAACATTATTTCTTAAGAAAATTAATAACGATACCATACTTGTTCAAGTATATGTGGATGACATTATATTTGAAGCCACTGATGAATCTTTGTGTAAAGAATTTATTAAAGATATGCAGGGAGAATTTGAAATGTCCATGATGGGGAAGCATAATTACTTCCTTGGATTACAAGTCAAACAACTTCAGGAAGGGTGCTTTCTTCATCAAGGAAAATACTGCACAGATCTCCTAAAGAAATTTGAAATGGAGCACTGCAAAGAGGCATCCACACCAATGTCAACTAACTTCTATCTTGATGCAGATGAAAAAGGGAATCCAATAGATCAAACAAAATACAGAGGGCTTATTGGTTCTTTATTATATCTTACGGCAAGCAGATCTGACATTATGTTTAGTGTTTGTATGTGTGTCAGGTTTCAGTCTGCACCAAAAGAATCTCATTTCACTGCTGTAAAGAGGATTCTCAAATATCTCAAAGGAACATTGAATGTTGGGTTGTGGTATCCTGGTGAGTCTAAACTAAATCTAATTG